GATTCGGGTCGGAAAAGGTCGCAACTCCTCCAACAAAATGCTAAAACACCAGCCCCACAGTGGGCGCCAACTGTCGTGGTTCTAAGTCTGACAGTAGTGTAGGGGGGTAAGTATGGAGAGGCAAGATCTTAGCTATGGAGAAGTTGTAAGAACGCAGGGTTTACGAGTTCAGGCCCTTCTCGGAGGAAGTAATAGCCCTACGTCTCGGAGCCCGGAGGCGGTCGACTGGATTATGTGTGTATGAATTACAGGGGTGCGAACCCTTGTCCCTGAGGAGGGGGGTGGCTTATATAGAGTTCGCCAGACCCCTCCCGCCCTCAGTTACAAGGGGTTTAAATACATTAATGTCGGACGTTACTGATAACGCCCCTAATAAAGTGCTATGATGACCATAAAAGCTACTTAATAACCGACCATTAGCATGCATAATGCCCTTAAGTCTCCCGACCGTCGAGTGGTTGCTTCTTGGTCGAGTGGTCGCTTCTTGGTCGAGTATCTTCGAGTCCGTCGAGTGGAACACCGCCAAGTCGATTGAAAAGGTGATTTCTTCTGGGGATGTCCTTGGGTAGGTCAGTTTGGACAGGTTCATGACCCTACCCTAGGTACATAGCTTCATCAAGATCCCAGTTCATGATGGCTCTGAGGACCGTATCACTCTAGAGGACAAGTGGATCTCTTCGTACTCTCACTGGATGGACTTGGACGAGTCCAATGCTGCTACTTCTTCTCCAGCTCAGGATCAGGAGTTCGAGGAGGAGCCCGATGGGTCTGCAGAGGAGTCTGCTAATGGGTCTGATTCTGAGGAGTCTGACGAGTCCATGGGTGGAGACTAGTGCCATCTGGAGTTGTGTTAGGTCACTCTCTGCCCCTTTTGGTGTCTCGATGCCAAAGGGGGAGAGGTTTAGGACTGGGGATTTGTATTTCTGTAGGGTGTTGTTGACTCACAAGCTTGGTTCCTGTTGCTTCTATGTTTCTGCTTGTGAACTCTTTTCCTTCATTTGCTTAGGTTTGTTGTGAGACTCTATCATATGGTGTAAGACATATGCTACCCTGGTTAATCTTATTATGTCTCTATGTGCATGAATGTATGATCTTTTGTCTTATTAGTTTCCTTGCTTAAATGTTTCTTATATAATTGCAAGGATTGCCCGGTCTATAAAATATAGGGAGAGTGTTGATCCTAGTATGTGTGTTGTGCAGTCCAAAGCACATATATTGAATGCACACATCTAGGGGGAGTCTGTCTATATTTTATTGATTCTTGGGTTTGCTTATGCTCTCTCTCTCTATACACACACACACACACACACACATCTGGGCTATTCTGTTTCGCGTAACAGAATATTATTCTGTTATCCTACTTGAACTGATGGTTTGAAGCGGTTGTACTGATGATTTTCATCCCGTCGAACTGGTCGTCTTTTCATCGGAATGGGGCATGTAATATATTGTTGGAAAGCTCTTGACATCTACATTACAAATATATAAGAATTTTTGCAAAATCATCGCGGTTTAAGAGCAGTTTTGAAAAAAAACGTTTTCTTCAAAACCGAAAACGCAAATCGTATTTTGGACTCAATTTTCAAACGGTTTGTAGAAATTGAGCAAATAAGATGGCGTTGGAAAGCTGGTAAAAATCCGCATCTTCCATACATCTAATGTTTTTTCAAATTATATACAATTTAAAAGTAATTTGAAAAACGTTGAAATTCTGGGCGAAACGTATTTTCGTGTTTTTTACAAACGGTTTGTCGGATTGATGCAAATGATATGACGTTGGAAAGCTATGGAAAATGCACAACTTTTTCGTATAGAAATGTTTTTCTAATTCCTTACGGTTTGAAAACGAATTCGAATATGGTAAAATTTGATTTTGAACGCGATTTTTTTGAAAAGTTTGTCGAAATGGGGTAAATAATATACCGTTGGATAGCTATCGAAAATGCGAAACTTAGTCATGTTGAACGTTTTCTCTACTTCACAACCATTTAATTTTAAAAGTAATTTTGAATAAGGTGAAACTCATCGTGTTGTTTTTTCCTGTCTAAAAAATAGAGTACTTGTACTGATGTGTGTATGTGTTTGTACTGATGTATTTTTGACAGTAGTTTTGAATGGTTCCAAAAAAAGAGTACTTGAATGGATGTCCGTATGGTTTTGTACTGAGGGTGTTTTCACATACATAGACTTTACTCTGTTTTTGCGGTATCATTTTCCTTGTAATTTTTCAACGGTTTATGATATTATCGTTCCCGAACTTGCATCGTTTTATATCGTTGAACTGAATGACATTTTACTTAAAAAATATTGTTTGTTTCTTTTTTCCATCTCTACCATTTTTTCAACTTTGTTCCGGACTTCTTTCATCCCACGATCTGAACTTTTACCATTTGAATTTCCGTAGGGTTTCTTTTTGTTTGAGCTTTTTCCTAGAACTTATCTGGTATGTCGTGTTGAACTTACAACTTTTTAAATTGTGAATTTATTGTGTTTTTACAATTCCAAAGCTAGCAAGTAGTAGGAGATTCACCCAACAAAGGGGCTAATTACATGAAGCAGCCACAGTAATAGCACTTGAACTTATAGAAGTGAAATTTTTGGTTTTAATTCATATTTGTTTACTTGTCCGAACTTATAGTACCATCATCATCGAACCTACATGGTTTGTGTAGCTGAACTAAAATAAACTTTTACCCAAATAAATGTGTTGTGTTTTTTTCTTTGAGCATATATTCCTCGGGTCAATAGACGAACTTTCTCAAATTTCATAGACGAGCTGACATCGTTTTATTTTTTGAACTTATATGGTATTAATAATTAAACATTCCATTTTCTCCATTCGTGGACATCAACCAAAATAGGCAGGAGAGAGCACTATCGAACTGATCACTGTTTTTAACTCGTACAAATCAATGTTTTTAATTCAAACAATTTTTCCTTTCTTGCACAAACATCTAACTGTCATGCACACTTTCTTTAAGAAGTAGCAATCAAATCACCATAGACAGAAAATTTGAACTTGCAGCTGCTGCTTTGTGTACGGATTCCATGTTTTGGTCATCCTCATTGCCTGCGTCGTGTACTTCATCCTCAACCTGTTGGTGTCCTTCGTGCTAGTGATCGGCATCGTCATAGCAGGCTAGTGATCTCTCAGGAGTACTTGCCTACATTTTTAAACAAAACATAGAAGGCTAGTGATCTCTCAGGAGTACCTGCCTACATTTTTAAACAAAACATGATACCATCAGCTTACGAAAATACAAAGAAATTCACAAAGAGTACATCTCTCAGAAAATTAGCCTTTAACATATCAATGCATAGAGAGTACATCTCTCAGGAAACAGTTTGAACCTCGCTGTTTTAACAATATGAACTTATAAACGGACACTACAATCCTTTTTCTATCTTATGTTACCAAAGTAAAAAATATTACAAAGACAGTGTGAACCTCATGGCTTTAACAATTTGAACTTCAGAACAAACACTATAACCATATAATATGAACACTTTCCTTTTTTATATACCAAATTCACAAACTTCCACTGTGGCAGTGTGTGAACCTCACGGCTTTTAATAATTTGAACTTTAAAACAAACACCATAATCTTACAATATGAACTCTCACATAGCACAAATCACAAATATATAAACACACAGACTTTCTTTACTGTTAAAGAACTTTCTTGGCGGTTTGCACTTTCTCAATTCTGATTTTTGAAACTCTCCATGTAGCTAGACATGAGCCTTTTTTTCATGGGCGACCACTATGTAGGAGAGCTCATTGACGACCACGCACGCCGAGTTCTTATGCTGCAATATAAAGCAAGCACCAATTAAAGCTCATTGCAAGGGCATTCTATCATTAAATATATCCAGCCAACAAGTAAAGAGTCTTGAAACCCAAGATAATACAAATAATGTGTACAATAAGACAACAGTCAACACAAGCTAGTGAAGGTTTACTGGCTTTTACTTTTGTCAAGTAATTATTAAGGTTCAAGCAGGGGGTGTTGAGAGGCTGTGTGGGACTAATATTGCAGTGTCAGAATCAGTTCAGTAGCTACTCAACTGCTTCATGCTACTGTCCCGCTGCTCACCAGTACACTTGTTGCCTACTCGTTGTCGTTGGATGTACCCTGCACACACACAACAGCCACGAATTAGCATGCACAAGTTCATGTAAAAAGAACAACAAGTTCATGTGCAGTAACGTCACAAGTTCACAACGAAACCTAAAAAGTTATGTACTTTAAAATACTTCATTTATACAAAATGATTTGCTAAAAATTTGTATATTGAACATTTTTATAGAAATTCATCACATACACGAAAATTTATGTATTAGTACCATCACTGATTTGTTGACAAAGGAAAAAAAAACCTGTAGTTACCCCAAGGTGTCTGCCATGTGAATTTGCCAAGGTATTTCTTGGGTAAACCTTTTTACCTAGTTGTTCCTACTTCATATGAACTTCCCAGCATTTTTTGTGCAATGAACTTGCTATCCCGGACTACTCTCTTCCCCTACCATCCTAATAAAACATTGATTTTATTGGTCGAGTGCTCTAGTACTGAACGACTCTCTTCCCACTTTGTCAAAACTCTCTTCCAGCTCTGTCAGAACTCTGTACTTTTCTCGACTCTTGTATTTGAACTACTCAGAATATATTAGTTGAACTCTTTTAAAAGCATTAAAACCAAGCGATGCTCTGGCAGCTAGGAACAGAAACAAAAACAGAGGTAGCGAAAAAAACTGCATCGTTTGCTTTGGCGATGGAGCTAGGCGAACATGGAAGAGGCTGGTGGTAGTTTAGAATAGAGCGGATGGGTGCTTTTGGTGAAGATTGTAGAAGGGATTCAACTTGGACGGCAGCCAGTGGTCGATTTGGACTGAAAAGGATGCCGCGGCTGTGCCTAGGAGGAAGAAAAGGGGTCTGCCTGGGCAGAAGGCCAACCGTGGTCCCATTTACTAGAAAAATCAAACCTTTTGTAACATCTACTTCAAACCTGTTGTAACAACCGCTTCCACTCTGTGGGAGCTTGTAGTACCCAAACAATCACTTTGGAAAAAATAAGCTTCCCAACCTGAATTTTTACTGAAAGAAAAAGGCACCACAACCTGAACTTGTTTTTCTTTATGAACTGATGATAAAATACATACAGGGCTGCTACGCCAGTAACAAATGCACGAATACATGACATTTTTTTGGAGAGCAATCTAACAAGTGTTATAGCAAACCACGGAACAAGTACATGTTTTGAACTTCTCAAGAACACGCATCAAGCAAAAAATACAAACCACTTCTGATTCACTAAAACATGAGCTAATTTTCAATAGAGATTCACTAAAAACAACTTCTGATTTTTTTTTAAACATCTTGCTTCTCATTATTTTCAATTTGAACTTGCTTGTTTTTTGTTTCTAGCAACGCGAAATGAAGCTGTAAGCAAGAGACGGGACGGGGGTGAGTACCTGCCGGTGCCGGCGGAGAAGCGCGGTGGTCTTGCCAGCGAACATGGGGCCAACGATGACGTGAATCACACGAAAAATTCTCAAGTAATGTAATCTGTAGCAAATTTCTACATTGAACTTTCCTAGTTCAGATCATTGAACTCTCCCAGCCGGCGATGCTTCTCTCATGAACGGAACCCAGTGGACCCTGCACACGGAAAGCCCATCGCGGCAATGTTAGAGCATTACTAGTAGAACCCTCAAACCCTCAAATCTTTAAAGCAGTTTTAAGGGTTGAGAAGTGCCACTTTTTGACACTTTTAAGGGTTGAAAAACAGGGGCAAATACTAGAACCCTCAAACCCAACCCTTAAACTTCTTTAAGGATTGGATTTGAGGGTTCTAGTCTTTGCCTCGACCCCAACCTTTAAATCTATCATTTGACATCTCACAATTTATGACAACAAGAACACAATCAACTTCCAAACAAACTACCAAATGACAATCATTGATGCATGGTTTAATAGTTTACATCACAAAATCATCATCTTCCTCCTCTCATCGGCACCATCACCAAAAAGTTGCACCTCGGCACCATCTCCTAGACCACAAGCGGGCTCCATCAAGCATCTCCTAGACCGCGTTTTGGAGGAGGTCCATGAACGAGGATGGGTTTGCCATTTCCTCGAACACCTCGTGCGCGGCGGGAGGAGGTTCGGCGACGGCGGCCGCCGCGGGCTTCTTCCGCGGCTTGGTCACGGCCGGGGACGAGCCAGCGACCTTGGAGGGCCGGCGAGGCGGGCGGGACGGGCGCGGCGGGCGCGGCGGCGGCGGGGCCTTCCATGGCCGGCGCGGCAGGAGGCGGCGGGAGGAGGAGGCCGGGAGGAGGAGCGGTTGGCTCCCGCGCGAGCGAGGAGCGAGCGACGAGGAGGAGTGCGGGTTGGGGGGAGATTTTCCCCTCAACCCCTACTTCTACAAATTGCAAAGTGGTTTGAGGGTTGGACCTCTAAATTTTTTTACGGGTTTGAGGGTTTAGAGGTTCTAGTCTACGGCGTTTTTTCGGCGAAAACTGTAAAAAAGCGGTTATTTTTAGGGGTTTGAGGGTTTGAGGGCTCTACTAGTAATGCTCTTAGTACTTCCCAAGGTGCTGCATCTGTACTCACTATGGCGATGTGTTTGTACTGCCCACAAACATACGTGAGAGCACAAAGTAAACATTTTAAAAAATTTGTGCTTACAGGAATAGTGACAAACACCTAAAGAACATGTTCTTTTCACATCTTCCCAACTACTCAATTAGCAGAACATATCTATGCATTTTAATAGCAGGAGCAAAGAAAGAGATAGATTGTTGTGAGAGAGTGTCGTTGATGCACGCAGAGGACTACCATCAGTGCTCAACTCGGATGGCTGCCAGCAACCGTGGTGGACGGGCTGGTGGCGGTGCCTTATTGGCATATGCATTGCAGGAATCACAAGTTCGAAAAAACTAACTGTGAAGTTTGCATCACTGAGTAGCTTTGGTGCATTTAGCCTTAGAAGTTGGTCTGGTGCAGCATAGACTGCAGCAAGAACACAAATTCAGGAAAACACCAAAAACACTCTGAACATTCAGGGGTTCTGTTTTTTGTTCTACCTACTATAATGAAAGTTCAGTCGGAACCTGTCTCCTACTTGATCGCAGCAAAGGACCTGATCGTTCATCATCGATCGAAGTACTTGAATAGATGGAAAGAGTAGGCGATTATTTATCGTGCACTATACAATATACTTTTGTATATGCGTAGCTAACCTGACGTTGACCCGTCATGGGGTGGATTCCGGCCTAACCACATGCTGCCAAGTCAAAAGTTGACACAAGATTAGTTTCAGTGCGACTAAATGGCATGATTCATCAGTTCAATCAAAAGGTCACAGGTTCATGGCCAATTTTTCAATGGTTCAGTTCAAAATTCAACAATTAATTTTTTCAACTGTTCAAACCGAGGAATGATAGCTGACCCATCATACTTCATGTAATTTCCTATAGAAAACGATTCACGGCCAAATTTGCAAGCACACATACTCCCTCCGTTCGGAATTACTTGTCGCAAAAATGAATGTATCTAGATGTATTTTAGTTCTAGATACATCCATATCCGAGACAAGTAATTCCGAACGGAGGGAGTACTTCCTGTAGAAAACAGATACACTATCTTTAAGCTGCAACGCTATCTTTCTTTTTAGAGTACATCCACTAGGGGCCAGCAGCAGCAGCTCCTCACACAGAGTGAGAGAGAAAGATGAGCGAACACACCTATGGCCAAGCACAGATAGCGACTTCGTCCTGGTCATCACGGAGAAGTAGAACTGCTCCGTCGTCTTCAGCGGCACCGCCGACTCTTCGCAAGCCATGTGTGGGGAGGCGGGGCCGGCACGCTGAAAGGAGGCGGCGATGGCTTTTTCCTGATGTACTATGCTTTGTATTTTGATGCTCACACTAGCTAGGTCTGTAGAAGTTGTTCCATGAGTTGTTATGCAAGTGGAAACACATAATCTTTTAGAGGTCAATTTCTTGTGGAGGAAGTCGAAGAAGGATTAACTAATACTTGGTCTTGGCACAGCAAATATATTTGAACCTAGACAATTTAACTGGTTGAACTGAGACAGTCAAACTAATTAGCACATCTAGGTATAATGAAATTATTTAACTAGTTGAACTGAGACGGATTAGCACCACTAATCCACCATGTGATTTTGTTTGTAGTTTAGAAACATATACAGAAATGACTCCCATTCCAGTAGGTCAGCAAGCATCAAATTCTTCCTAAAACTTTGATTCCTGAAACGATAATCAGTGTACATTCTAATAAGAATTAACATGCTACCAAAAGGAACACACGCATACCAGTTTAGTGGCAACAATTACAATTAGCCAAGTTCATTTGAGGTAGCAGATGCACAAGTGCAGTGGCAGCTCGACGCACATACCTGCTCCACTGTTTCATGCCTCCATCTCACTACTCCCTAGTACACTGGCTGCCGACTTTGATGTACCCTGCACACACACAGCCGCCAATTAGCATGCACACACACAGCCGCCACACACCTAGGACTGTGTCTTCTCCACAATTTGGACCGGCGATGTAGAAACACAGAAAAAATCTGTTGGAGTCGTCACTGTCGCCTCCTTGTCGCCCGAGTGATGTAGCAACACAGGAAAAAATCTGGCGGTGGCCAACGCCAGGGGAAGATGGGGCGGCTGGCGCCATGTGTGGATGCGACGGGTGGCGGCCCGCGCTAGGGGAGGACGGGGGCTGGACTGCGGCCGGCGCTAGGGGAGGACAGGGGGTAAACTGCGGCCGTCGCCAGGGGGGGACGGGGGCGGTCGGAGGCCGTCGCCAGGGAGACGGTGCTGGGCGTTGGCCAGCGCCGGGGGAGGGGGTTGCGGGGTGGCGCGCGGCGGCGAGTTGCGGGTGGCGCGCAGCGGCGGGTTGTGGGGTGGCGCGCGACGGCGGGTCACGGAGACGGCGCCTGGAGGTGGAAGGTGGAGGTGGATCGGGAGGCTACGGGGTGGGGGTTGGATCAGAGGCTTTTTTTTCTTTTTGGGGAGGACAGGCACGTACCGGTTCGTCTAGGTTTTTTTGTTTCTGATCGGAGCGCGCTCTATATAAGATGAGATGGTAACAGAATATTATTGTGTTACTGGTAACAGAATAGCTCTGTCCTATATATATATATCTCATGACATATTTTTTTCTAAATGGTTTTGGTGATTGATGACAATGCATTTATGGACTAATTGTGTGCATTGAGCATTCAGATATCTCATGGCTAGGCACTAGACGATTCGATGCCCCTCGGAGTCTTTCGAAGACGACGACGTTTTTTCTATGTTTCCTTTTCGGTGGATTTGAGTCATTGGAGAGCCGTACTATTAAGAGGGGGTTCTCTTTGGAAAGGTATGGGTGGAATCAATACGTGCACAGGCCCATATGCACTCACTGCCTTCTTCCCATCGTCGGAGCCTTTCCTATGTTTTCTGTGGTGTTTTCAGCTTCTTGCCAGTGGTAGTACCTCTTATGCGGTAGTACCGCTGGTACTTCCATTGTACTACCGCTTAGGGCTTCCCCCGAGCGTGCAACTTTCATTTTCCTATTTGTCACTCACGGTATTAGAGCGGTAGTATTGTGGTAATACCGCTTCGGCGGTACTACAACCCGTAATACCGCCTCCACTACCGCTTGAGGGGTGTTCTCGTGTGCAAGGTTATGTTCCCGCTTTGCCTCAAGCGGAAGTAGAGCGGCGCTAGGATGGTAGTACCGCTTGGCACAGTACTGCCGCCCCTGGCACCCTCTACTATTGCTGGCTCTTCAGGACTAAGACCCAAAGCGGTAGTACCGCTCAGATCAGCGGTAGTACTTCTCCAACAGCACTACCGTAGCTACACTATGTGTAGTCTTAGGCCTGTGCGGAGTTGTACCGCCTAAGTGGTAGTACCGCTCCTAGGAGCGGTAGTACCACTTAGGTGCGGGTTGGGCGGAAAACGGTTGGAATTTTGCTCCCCTGTATAAGGGGGGGTCTTCTCCCTTCCAAGATTCATTGTTGCTCAAAGCTTCATTTTTTTCCCAATCTCTTTCCCTAGCCAATCAAACTTGTTGATTCTCTGGGGATTGGTTGAGAAGGCCCCGATCTACACATCCACCAAGAGAAATTTGATTCCCCCCACTAATCCCTTGCTGATTTTGTTACTCTTGCGTGTTTGAGTACCCTAGACGGTTGAGGTCACCGCGGAGCCATATTCCATTGTGGTGAAGCTTCGTGGTGTCGTTAGTGTTGGGTTTCGTAGTAATTTCAAAAAAAATCCTACGCACACGCAAGATCATGGTGATGCATAGCAACGAGAGGGGAGAGTGTGATCTATGTACCCTTGTAGACCGACTGCGGAAGCGTTAGCACAACGCGGTTGATGTAGTCGTACGTCTTCACAATCCGACCGATCCAAGCACCGTTACTCCGGCACCTCCGAGTTCTTGGCACACGTTCAGCTCGATGACGCTCCCCGGGCTTCGATCTAGCAAAGCTTCGGGGAGGAGTTCCGTCAGCACGACGACGTGGTGACGATCTTGATGTTCAACTGTCGCAGGGCTTCGCCTAAGCACCGCTACAATATGACCGAGGTGGAATATGGTGGAGGGGGCACCGCACACGGCTAAGGAACGATCACGAAGATTAACTTGTGTGTCATGGGGTGCCCCCCTGCCTCCGTATATAAAGGAGCAAGAGGGAGGGGCGGCCGGCCTAGGAGGGGGCGCGCCAAGGGGAGTCCTACTCCCACCGGGAGCAGGACTCCCTCCTTCCTTGTTGGAGTAGGAGAAGGGGAAAGAGGGGGAGAGGAAGAAGGAAAAGGGGGCTGCGCCCCTTGTCCAATTCGGACCAGAGGGGGGGGGCGCAGGCCTCCTTCCTTTTGGCCTCTCTCCTCTATTCCCGTATGGCCCAATAAGGCCCATATACTCCCCGGCGAATTCCCGTAACTCTCCGGTACTCCGAAAAATACCCGAATCACTCGGAACCTTTCCGATGTCTGAATATAGTCGTCCAATATATTGATCTTTACGTCTCGACCATTTCGAGACTCCTCGTCATGTCCCCGATCCCAACCGGGATTCCGAACTCCTTCGGTGCATCAAAACTCATAAACTCATAATATAACTGTCATCGAAACCTTAAGCGTGCGGACCCTATGGTTCGAGAACAATGTAGACATGACCGAGACATGTCTCTGGTCAATAACCAATAGCGGAACCTGGATGCTCATATTGGCTCCTACATATTCTACGAAGATCTTTATCGGTCAGACCGCATAACAACATACGTTGTTCCCTTTGTCATCGGTATGTTACTTGCCCGGGATTCGATCGTCGGTATCCAATACCTAGTTCAATCTCGTTACCGGCAAGTCTGTTTACTCGCTCCGTAATACATCATCTCGCAACTAACTCATTAGTTGCAATGCTTGCAAGGCTTAAGTGATGTGCATTACCGAGAGGGCCCAGAGATACCTCTCCGACAATCGGAGTGACAAATCCTAATCTCGAAATACGCCAACCCAACATGTACCTTTGGAGACACCTGTAGAGCACCTTTATAATCACCCAGTTACGTTGTGACGTTTGGTAGCACACAAAGTGTTCCTCCGGTAAACGGGAGTTGCATAATATCATAGTCATAGGAACATGTATAAGTCATGAAGAAAGCAATAGCAACATACTAAACGATCGGGTGCTAAGCTAATGGAATGGGTCATGTCAATCAGATCATTCACCTAATGATGTGATCTCGTTAATCAAATGACAACTCATGTCTATGGTTAGGAAACATAACCATCTTTGATCAACGAGCTAGTCAAGTAGAGGCATACTAGTGACACTCTGTTTGTCTATGTATTCACACATGTATTATGTTTCCGGTTAATACAATTCTAGCATGAATAATAAACATTTATTATGAAATAAGAAAATAAATAATAACTTTATTATTGCCTCTAGGGCATATTTCCTTCAGTTAGGAGCCTCCAATTAAGTTGTGGAGATTGCCCCAACCTTATTTGTAATGGTTCGGTCGCCGCCTCCAAGGGCACCAATAGTGGAATCATGGCATCTCGCATTTTGTGAGGGCGTGAGGAGAATACAGTGGCCCTAGTGGCTTTTTGGGGAGCATTGTGCCTCCACACCGCTCCAACGGAGACGTACTTTCTCTCAAAGGGAAGGAACTTCGGTAACACATCCTCGTCTCCACCGATTCCACTCTTGGTAATCTCTTACATTTACTTGTGCAAGCTTACATTGTGTTGTATCCCTTGCTTGCTTGTGTGCTTGTTGTTGTTGCATCATATAGGTTTCTCACCTAGTTGCATATCTAGACAACCTACTTTGATGCAAAGTTTAAATTGGTAAAGAAAAACTAAAAATTGTTAGTTGCCTATTCACCCCCCTCTAGTCAACTTACCGATCCTTTCAAAGAAGGATATAGGGTATTACCTCCTCAAGAGGGCCCGCACCTGGGTAAATAATGTCTCCTTCATCCCTTGTTACCCATAGATCCGAGATCCACAGCTCGGTACCCTCTACCCCGAGGTTTGCCGGTTTTAGTACCGACATTGGTGCTTTCGTTGAGAGTTACGTTGTGCGGTCGACAAATGATTAATGGCTCGTCTGCAGATCAAGTGCAACACCAGCTGCGGTGACATCTTCGTCCCCGACCAACTCTTTGCGTTCAGCAGCAATTTTTCTACACGCCAATTCGATGGGTCTTCTCGCCTAGATCGAAAATCTCGCTCACGACCAGGTTGTTACGTTTTGGTTGTTTGGATTACACCGCGGACGCACGTGGTGGACTCTTCCTTTCTGGCTGGA